AATTTTATGTAATAATCATTTTAAAATGAAACTCAAGTCAGCAACTCAAACAGCAATTTTAAGAATCAAACATTTTAATGCAAAGATATACTAATTTCATACTTACATCCTGAGGAATGCTGGTAGGAAAATATTAAAAGTAATTTCTCATAATTAAGTCATTTTGTTTCTTTAAGAATAGAACACCGGCCTCATCTGCCATGTGGTGGTGAGGGCAAGGGAAAGATGTCCCCCCCCCCCCCCCCCCGACCGTGAAACACCAGCCCCCCCCCCCCCGCCCCCGTTGCCCATGTGGTGGGAGCTGCCCCGCCCCCTTACCAGCTACAGCCCTTGGAAAAATGGGGCCTGCACCTCACCTGGACAGAACAGTAGAGCTGATCCTATGGACTGGGGCGTGTAGGCAAACAGACCCCAGATGTGAGCATGGGAGATTTGGCCCCACCCCTCATCTGCCGTTTGGTGGTGTGGGCAGGGGAGAGATGCCCCTCTTGCCCCTTGCTGCCTGTGGCGGGTGAGAGCTGGCCCTGAGGTCGTAATATTGGGGGAGCTGTCCCTGCTCCTCACCAGCTGCAGCACGTGGCAGAGTGGCCCCTGAACCTTGTCTGGGCAACACAGTAGAGCTGGCCCTGATGTTCCAGGTGTGGGAGAGTCGACCCTGAGGGTGTGAAAGCAGAACTGGCCCCATCCCCTGCTCGTTGGGCAAGGGGTGAACTACATGGGGGCCATGCTGGAGAGCTCACCCTGGTGGTGAGGACCGGGGAGAGCCGGTGGACTGACCAACCCAGCAACTGCCCAGGCCCAGCACCAGGGTTATGAGTTGGCTCACCCCAACATCCACCCCATCTGTGATCTGCTGGAGCATATGAAGGGGCCAGTCTTACAGACCCAAATCTACAGGATCTCCATGACACGGGGCAACAATAGGTTATCCAAGAGTAGTCCCACTGAGGGCCCCAAAATCAATAGTGTAGCAGAAACTAGAGGCCTTGAACTAGACCAATGATTCTTTGCAATGAACATTTGCAAGAAAAGATATATGGATAAAAGGGGTTACCGCGTGACTCACTGTGATACTATAGCTATCATGATGAGATTTTTTTTTCCTTTTAAATTTTATTTTATTTTATTTTGGGGGGAAGTTGCAAGGGCAGAGAGCAGATATGAAGGGATGGGGAAATGAATGGGCTCAAGATGCATGATGTTAAAGATACAAAGAATAAATAAAAGAAAGTTTTAAAAAAGAGAGAGAATTGAAAACCTAGTGGTCAATGATGGAGGTGCACATCTTGACTCCCAGCATTGAGGAGGCAGAAGCAGGAGGATCTCTGTGAGTTTGAGTTCAAGGCCTGCCTGGTCAACAGAATGAGTTCTAGGACAGCCAGAACTACCCAGAGAGACCTTGTCTGGAAAAACAAACAAAACAAAGCAAAACAAAGAAATGCTTGCATGTACAGTAAACACCCTGAAATTCATAACATCCAACAGTGTCGAGTCTGGGTAGAGGTGCTTCAGGCTGTGTGGTTTGCACTACATTGGTGTGCTGGCATACACTATGGGAAGTATGGGTGTTGTGTGTTCAGAACCGAGGCTGCAGTCAGTCACAGGAAACAACTGGGGTGAATGCTTCCAGAAGCACCTCAGGTCCTTATATGTTTGATTTTGAATTTGTTTTTGGCCTGTGCCTTTAAAAACCCTTCACAGTTGCTAAAATTTTGTGAACTCCACGTTCAGGTGGTAGACATAGCCACACAGTCCTAGCAGCTGTGTACAAAACAACCCTTTCATATTGTGCTCGGATTAGCTGCACCTGCTCCCTTCAGTCTCCCTCCCAGTAGCACAGAGTGCAGAGGCCAGTGACTCTGCCTTACTATTTCACACCAGATACAAAGGTAGACTGCAGACAGGCTTGAGAACTGCATGTAAGAAGGTGAAATGGTGAGGCTTGTAGAACAAACTGATGGAGAAAGAACAAACAGGCAAATAAATAAAAGGGAGAAAAAAAGATAGAAAGCTACAGTATCCAACTTTAAGATTATTGTTTCATAAAAACATGAAGACAGTTTTCACTCTTTGATGGTAGACTCCTGTTCAGACTCCATTCACAAAGATGCACTATAAAGCAAAAAGAAGGGAAATACATAGAAAAGTGGTCAAGACACCAAAAATCTCACCGCATAACCAACGTGGGTGTTAATTCTCTGGTGGAGTTTCACCTCCTACACTGTGTTATCTAGATTGGCCTCAAACTCCTGATACTTTTGCCCCCGTCTCTTGAAAGTGTGGTGGTTATAGACATGTGCCTCCATTCTCCATGCCTGCTGTTCTCTCTTTCTCTCCAGCATCTTTAAAAACTATTTAAATTTTATTTTTATGTGTATATTTGTTTTGCCTGTGTGTATGCATATACAGCACATGCATACTGCTTATGGTCTTTTAAAAATTATTTTATGTGCATGAGTATTTGCCCACATCTATGTTTGTGCACTGTGTACATGCCTGGTGCCCACAGGGACCAGAGGGTACTGGATTCCTGGAACTGGAGTTACAGACAGTTGTGAGCAACTATATGGGTGCTAGAAATTGAACTTGAATCCTCTTGAAGAGCAACCAGTGCTCTTAGCCTGAACAATCTTTCCAGCCTAGCTTAATGGTCCTTCTCAAGGCCAACTAAAAGAACAAAATACTATGGTTTAACCATTGTGTGTGTGTGTGTGTGTGTGTGTGTGTGTGTGTGTGTGTGTGTGCGCGCGCGCGCATGCTCGTGCATGAATGCCATGGTAGATGCAGACATGTGGAGGTCAGAGGACAACTTGGGGGAGTCAGTCCTCCCCTTCCATTATGTGAGGTTTTTAAAGACTGTCTTCAGTCATCAGGCTTGGCAGGACATGCCTTTACCCACTGATACACCTCACTAGCTAAAGTATTATGCTCTTTAAGCAAATACAAATGGAGAATTTTTACAAGTCATAAAGATGATGTGCTGATGAATTTTTTAACCTCTTGATTGACATAGATTTCAACTATTGCCAACAAAACAAAACAAAACAAAACAAAACAGTTTAAGTATCCCCCAAATTAATGCCTATTGAAACTTATCCAAATAAATAAAAGTAAAATGTTTTTTCATGCCATATACTACTACTACTACTGCTACTACTACCAGTTATTACTATTATTTTGGTTTTTTGAGACAGGGTTTCTCTGTGTAGCCCTGGCTGTCCTTGAACTCACTCTATAGACCCAGGCTGTCCTCAAACTTAGAGATCCACCTGCCTCTGCCTCCTGAGTGCATGTGCCACTACCCAGCTTGTTTTTTATTCTCTTAACTTTCAGTAAATACTTAAGACGTTTAAAGAAAAAGGAAAAGAAATGTTGACAAAGCTGTGAATAGGCAACTCACAGAAGGGAAGCCCAACGTGGCTCACATACATATGAAGAAATGCTAAAGTTCTCTAGTGGAGAAAGTGGAAATGAAAGCAGAAAACATGCTTCTACTTCTTCCAGCCCATTGTCAGGGTTAGAAAACTGGCTAATCAGATGAACCAGTGTTTGCAAAGCCCTTGTTTGATGCTAAAAAATGCCTACAGGTCTTTATGACTATAACGTGCTGCAGACTAGCAAGGTGCTGAATATGGAACACACACTGTGATACAACACACGACTGGACAGTGCTTGTGTGCCACAATCTAACAGCATTTGGTGCCATTGAGTAACTGGCTTCCACTAGATTAGTATGGACACCCTTGAAATTGGAAAGCAGAGTCCACCTTCAGGCAGATTAGCGAGAAGGTACACTCTCCAGATAGTCACACAGTTGCAGCCTCCTAGGATCAAGAGTTGGCTGTGGAACAGAGATTTTGCTGCCTGTGTGTAATGGGGTAGGTGGAAGGATACATCATACAATAGGGACATTGAAAGGGAAAGTAGAGGCTCTGTTTTGTCCCCAACGGTCCCTTGGCTGGATTTCTTTGTGCAGGACACACACACTTGTTCTAATGTGATGTCCCTAGGATTCCCTTGTGCACAATCTTGCGCTCATCAATATCTTTTTAGGAGTATTTACGTATAGGTCCATACAATGAACATCAAACAGCAATGGCAGCCTTTTTATTCAGCATTTGAGAAAGGGAATAACATGTGTTGGATCCCCAATTTGAAATGCCAAGCAGCCATCACAAGCAGTGGGCATGAGTGCAATCAAGATAAGCAGTGGTGGCGCACGCCTTTAATCCCAGCACTCGGGAGGCAGAGCCAGGTGGATCTCTGTGAGTTCGAGGCCAGCCTGGGCTACCAAGTGAGTTCCA